GGGGGGGGGGGGCAGAAAGAAAGTATGAAATCAAAAGTAAAATCCCTCTCCTCCCACCTCACACACAACCTAGAAAGAATATAAAGGAAAGTTTCACGATATCTTGTTCACAATCTAATTCTCTCTCAATCTTCTACATGTCTTCTGCTCAAAAGCTAGACGCTTCAGCAAGAATTGACGCCAACCTTAAAGCCACCGTTTAGATCATTGATTCCTCACGCTCAAAGGTAATCAGAGAGACTGATCCTTATTCCAGTAATGAGAACAAAAAAGCCGATGGCATCAAATGCCTTTAATTAGAATTCCCATGATTTAAGACTGACATTTGGCCTAAATATCGGAGATCAACCCGAAAGAAAAGGAGAAGAAGAACTGTTATGGTTGATTTTCGTGATACAGTGGGGTTTTGAAATGTAATTGTAAATGTCTTACGTTTCCATCGTCACGATTTGGATCATTTAACGGACGGGTTGCTTTGACCCTGACAGCCAGTTCGGGTTGAATAAGATACACATCTCAACAGACAGAGAGTGATACTTATCAGCCAGATGGAGATACCCAGCAGACAGATAGCGATACCAGCGACAGATACTTCGCGACCATATGGATATACTCAGCAGACAGATAGTGACACTTAACGGCCGGATAGAAATACACATCTCAGCAAAGAGACAGTGATACTTAGCAATCAAAAGAAGATACTTATAAAAAAGGCGGAGATATTAACTTCACTACACAAAATATCAACTCATTGAGGAAGCGCATTTACTCATTCAATGACGCTTTAAGACGCCACGCTTTGGGACACTATTAAAGACAAACACAACTTAGTTATTCATAGAGATTATTTCAAATCTGTTTCCGTTACCAGAAACTTTAAAAGACAGGCTTCAATCCAATTACAATAAAATATGCAAATTTGTGTTTCTGATTTGTGTATTATGAATTGGAATATGCCTCAAATTTGTCTTTGGTCTGCAGCTGATCAGTCGTTTGTGGCAGCTTCAACCGCAAAAACTTGCAGAGTTAATTTTCTTTTGGCCTTTGGTCGCTGCCAAAATACGTCCCACGGCTGTCCCACGGCTGTCCCACGGCTGTCCCACGGCTGTCCCACGGAAATACCGGAAAAGGTCCGTAAAAGCAAAAATCTTTGTCCTATTATAATAAAACTGTAACACATCATACCTCAACATGTGCTTTATTTCTCAATGTAATCACCATCCCGCTGGACACATTTTTCCCATCGCTGGACGTGGGAGAAGATACCCTCCCTGAAGAATCTTTCGTCAAGGGATTTCAACCAATCGTTCACGGCTTCCATGAGGTCTTTGTCGTCGGTGAATCGCTGTCCAGAAATATGGCGTTTCAGTTTCATTGGTTCAAAAAGGTGATAATCTGACAGGGCCAAGTCGGGACTGTGAGGGGAGTGTAGTAGAACTTCCTAGCCGAACCTTTGGAACCAGTCTTTCGTGACGTTTGCGGTGTGTGGCGTTGTGTTGCCATGCTGCAAAATGACCCCTCTGGTCTTTTTCGGCCCCAACCCATCAAGCAGAGACCTTTCAATAGTGCAGCTCATCAAACTCTATCCTATAGAAATTCGACTTTGAAATGTTTAGCGACTCGCAAATTTCGCGAATTTTTAGGACCCTGTCTGTTTGAATAAGTTCGTTAACGCGACTCTTGTTGTCCTCAGTCTTGGCAGAAAAACAAGATCCTGGGTAAACTTTGCCATTGATATCGGAGTGCCCGGCTTTGAACTTACTACATCACTCATATACCTGTGACTTTGCCATTACTTTCTTCCCATAAACTGACTTTATTCCAGTGTGTATTTTTAGAGGTTTGAGACCTTTTGCGGTCAGAAACCGAATGAAAGACCTCACTTCTATCCTTGACCAATTTTCCAATGGGGTAGCCATCTTTTGAGAACTGCTGTGCTCGTTTGGTTTGTGCGATGCTCATGGTGCTCAATCGGGAAATTTCTAAATGATTGTTTTACTAGTGTGCGTTTACAGAATGTGAAAATATTGAATTGTTTTCAAATTACAGCCAAATTCCGGTTTTCCGTGGGACAGCCCTCGTATGTGCTATGAAAAATTATAATTTACTGTTTTTGAAACAAAGATTTCAATTCACCACAATAGTGTGGCTAATCTCTAGACTTTAGAAGGCTCATATTTTTTTTGCCGGGGGGTGAGGGGGGGGGGGGGTGTTCATATGTCTGACAGCCAGCGTTCAAGTGTGTATGATGGTTAGGCTTTTTACTGTTACGACCATGAGACATGAATTCAATTCCTGAGAGGGGTTAAGTAGTTTTTATCTAGTAAATGCATTTCCCTCTGTCCGCTGGAACGCTTTTACCCACTCACCCAAGGATGTCCCTGGCGAGCGAGGTCAAAACAGCCTGTCCCACAATAAATGATCTAAACTGTGCCGATGTGGGCGTAAAACATTTACTTTGTAATTACAACTACATTTACACGCCGGAGCCTAAGCACGAGCAAACACGACTTGCATTTAACGCGAAAGCTAAATC